TTAAAGGTTGCTGCTCACATTCCTGGTTGAGTGCCAGTTGTATGGCTTGGTATGTAACCAGGAATGTGAGCAGTGACTCCCTGACTAGCAACAATTTGCCACTGTCATGTATGCAGTTACAGTTATGCTGAAGGAAATGCAAATCTCTGATAGGACTCTGACCAACACAGTACATTTTCAACTTTTTTGCTCTGCCAAAGGCAAAATGATTATTATTCCTCTATAGCTAGAAACTCAGCCACTGGACCACTGCAAGAACAACTACCAAACAGTCCTTTATTTGCCAACACAGTTCTCTGGGATATTTATTTTTAGGCCTTGAAGGCGAAGAAAAGTTTTAAGTCATGACTTTCATCACATCATCCCTCGGCCTCCTTCACTGATGATTACAGAATCATGGATTATCTGTCACTGTGATTGATGGGTGTCATTAGCTGGTCTTCTTTGTGCAATGATCCCTGGTCTTTGAGGCTGGGCACTGAATTTTGCATCCATTGCCACATTCTCTGTGGAATTGCAACCCAACATGTCTTCTGCCCTGTGTCCATAGAAAATAGTTGCAAGCTTTTTATTGGACTGAGTTTAAGGAGCAGAATGTTTCCAAGCAGGTGATTCTGACTTTGATCTGATCTTTACAAGTTTGCTTCCTTCATTTCCTCTTAAAACGCGTAGTTTGCACCTTGACGGCCCAACCAATATGACGATCAAGCTGGAGCAGAGGTCTGCCCTGTTCAGTCACAAGCCAGCTCTGGTTGATGTTACTTTATGTCCTCTTTCAGATGTGTTGCAGCAAAGAAAAAAAAACCCTCTTTACTCATCCTCCCCAGCACCAGTTGTTCAGGAACAAGTTAGCAGGGCTAAGACATCAAGCTACAGCCCATGGCACGTATGTTGCACACGTGTGCTCTTTAAGCTGCTTAAGCTGGCTGAACGACACGACCGTTCTGGTCTCTCCGTGTAGCAACCATCAGTTTGGCAAGGCCTGACTAGGGAGTGACTCGGCTCACAATGCCCTCTAGTGAAAGCAGAATCTCATTGAGAACTGATAGGCATTCTGCAGGCTACAGTCCTATGCACAGTCATGCGCTCTCCTTGACGCTGCTGAAAACCAAGGGACTTTATGCAAGCTCATTGAGTTATTTTTTTCTAGTTGGAGCTAGCAATTATACTCTCTCCCTCCTTCATTCCCCCCTCTCTCTGTGTGTATGTGTTTGTAAAATGTGGTCCCTTGGCAAAAGGTCTGTACTCTCTTCGCCCCAGCAGATAAAGTGAGAAGACTGAAAGAATAATAAAAAGGAAATAATAAAAAGGTTTGTGGTAGTGTTCAAGGAATAGGATCCGTCCCAGCTTTTTGGCCTGGTTATTGGGGAGGCAAATTGAGAAACAAAAATGGCTATTTCCAACGAGAGTCGTGACCAATGTTGGCGGATTGTCTTGTTCTCTGTGGTTTACAGAGTCTTGCTGTGTTGACACTTCCCACCAAGACCTTGTGTGTCAGCTGGGTTTCCTGGAGAAATGCCTTATTCTCTTCCTTGCAATATTTCACCCAATAGTTCCAAGCAAAGAATGGCCCGCTTCTGTGCCATTCAATGCCCTTTCTGGTGGGAGAATCCTGTGTGTGGAGGATGCCATACTGGGCAAAAATTTTAATAATTCTGCTCAGCTCTGTGTTCTTTTTTCTAGAATGCGTGAGCATAAAATGTCTGAGTTTTAGGAAGGGGGAAAATCTGGGACAAAGAAATTTCTTTAGGAGGAGAAAGGGGGATCCTTCCCCACCCAATTTCTTGGTTTTGATTTTGAGGTTCACATTCCTAGTTCCAGCCAGAAAAGACCAATTGAATCAATGCCACTTCAATGATTCTTTGTTTAAGAAGTTCTGTTCATGCAACAAATCTACTTTAGTTGGAATTAATCATCGAATTTACACCTCATCTCTCCAGAAAACCCATCTTTTGATTTAGTGGCTAAGAGTAGACTTTGTCTGGGGGTGGGTGGGATAGAAATCTAAGAAAGAAAGAAAGAAAGAAAGAAAGAAAGAAAGAAAGAAAGAAAGAAAGAAAGAAAGAAAGGAATTATTTCATATAGCAGATGTATTCTAAGACTATTTCTCTCTATGTCTTATTTTTTATACACAGTACTGTACTCTATTCCCCCCTATTAACACCGTTTCCCCAAAAATAAGACCTAACCTACTATTTCTCTCTATGTCTTTTTTTTATATACTGTACTCTACTCCCCCCTATTAATACCGTTTACCCAAAATAAGACCGAACCTGAAAATAAGGCCTAGTATGATTTTTCAGGATGCTCGTAATCTAAGCCCTACCCCAAAAATAAGCCCTGGTTAAGTGAAACCTCGCCCTCCACCATTGTGCAGCAGCAAGAAGATGAAATGGCTGTATTTGAATGAATGTAGGTGGTTGTACATGAACAGAATAAAACATCCCCTGAACAGAAGCCCTAATGTGTTTTTTGGAGCAAAAATTAATGTAAGACCCTCTCTTATTTTGGGGGAAACACGGTATTCGGACAACTTGTGAAATGCTCCTGCCCAACCCAATAAATAAGACTGACTTTTTAGGATATCCAGGGTGGTGTGATGGATAGATTGTGTTGCAAAGATTAACACTTTTCCATGTGTAGCGTGTGAAAGGAAGGCACATCAGACGCCCCAAACATTGCACATCGCACTTTCTGTTGGATTGTGGGAGCTGCTATTAAATAAAAGGCTTTAAAAAACTTTTCATAGCTCTGGACCTGATGTTGCTTCCTTTGTCAATATAGGAAGTCTCACAGTATATTTGCCAATGGGGTCACTTCTGTCCACAAGGATCTTGCCATTGTCTCAAACGATGGTCAGCTGAGTACTCCATCTTTTCCCCACCATGCCTTTAACTTGGGAGTCTTCTACATGTAAACCTCACATCCGCTTTCCCACTCTTGAGTTATGCATCTTCATTGGAAACTGGTTGGGTGTATGCAGAATTATAGAAAGGCTTCAGGACTGTCACCCAGTTATAAGACTTCAGGTAGAAGGACAAATGTATCATCTTCATTTGAAGTTTTATTTTCCAGAGCTGACAAGGTGTCCTTGACAACTCTGGTGCAGAAAATGTGAACAGAACAGAGTTGCCTTTATTTAAAAACAAAACAAAACCATGGCCAGAATTCTATTGGTGATCTTTCCATGTTGACTTGATTGCATGCAATTATTATAATTAAGTGAAATTGTGTATGCTGTGGCATCAGACTGCTGCTAATTAATGAGGTGCTGGCCGTGTTCCTGGGGCAGTGCCTGGTGGTACAACCAGCAACAAAGCCAGACACAACTGGCACTTAGTTAATTAGATTTCACTTATTCATGCATAAATCACCAATAAGATTCTCACACTTCTATCTCTATCTCTATTTCTATTTCTATATCTGTCTAACACATGTGTATATCTATACCTTCTCTCTTGCAGGATTGATTGTCTACTTGGGCATGATGGTGGGGGCTATTTTATGGGGTGGCCTGGCAGACAAGCTAGGCCGGAAGCAATGCCTCGCTCTGTCTCTTTCCATCAACGCTTCCTTTGGCTTCCTCTCCTCCTTCGTGCAGGGATACGGATTCTTTCTCTTCTGTCGCCTTATCTCTGGTTTTGGGTGAGTATCGCACTTCCTGCTCATCCTGCTTCAAGAGAGGTCCTGCTCGTCCATGCAGCAGGATGTGTACATGTTTTCCAGGCCAGTTGGCATTCACTAGGGACGTATTCTCAGAGGAGTCCACCTGGAAGTCATACTGGACCAAATCCTGTTTTTTTTTCCTACCCAGGTGTGGGTCTTCTTTCCCCCCCTGGAGTTTGCACAAGGGGGTACTCACTACCCCCTTTATGCACATGGAAGCCCCATTGCTATGATGGGCAACCTCTGGCTTTTGTGCCTCCCAGCTAGTCTCTAAGTGTGAAATACTTCTCCTGCAGAACTGTTGCGTTCCAGGTTTCTCGTCATTGATTTCTAACATCTCATCGCTTCATTTGCCCCGTCAGTCAGGCTTCTGGACAACAGAAATACTTCTAGAATTGTCCTCTGGGCCAGTCAGCACTAGGCCCTTGAGAAAATCCCAGTGCATTCTTTATTGCCATAGTGCGAATCACACTGGCCTCAGGTTTTGGCATCCCAGAAACCCTTCCCTTTTGGTATGCAAAAGTTGGGAGGATCATACCTTCAGAAGGCGCAATTGTCTACTAAAACAAATCGCGCTCCCACCTTGTTTAAGCAAACATACACGCAGACACGCAAACACAGAGAGACGGACTTATGTATCCATGCATGCGTACATACACATGCACGCACGCAGAGTTATTAGAACACTGGAAGTACTAAAGTTTATGAGGATCAAGCAAAAAAAGTCACAAAGAACACAGACTGAAATTCAACGCCCCCAAATAAAGTATTTCTCTTTAAAAAATTAAAAAGTAAAAATAAAAGAGAAACACTTTATTTTGGGGGTACTGAATTTGATATCTATTACCATACATCTCTAGAGGTTCATGGGATTTATTAATGGCTGTAGTTATCTCTTATTGAGAACCCGATGGTGGGGCTTTGTACAAAGTTTAAACAATGTGTTTGGGACCATTTTATTCTCTCAATCTGTTTTCTTCTTTCTTCTTTCTTTCTCAGGATTGGAGGGTCCCTCCCTGTTGTCTTTGCCTATTTTTCTGAATTTCTATCCAGAGAGAAGAGAGGAGAGCATCTGAGCTGGCTCTGTATGTTTTGGATGATTGGTGGCCTTTATGCTTCTATCATGGCCTGGAGCATCATTCCACATTATGGTAACCACTAGTTATAGCAGTTCTTATTTGAGGGCAATTGAATTCTTAGTCCCCCCCCAACCTTGTCCTCCAATTGAGAACACACTGATTGAAAAACTCTCCTGTGAAGTTCTGTCCCTTTCCTTACCACGTTGAAATAAAATATTTACCATTTGTGTGAAATAAATATATAGTATTCTAGCAGTAACTATGGGAGGGAAGACAGTTTGTTGAACCCAGCTGCAAAGAGAAGCAGCTAAAGGCTTTCGTAAATGCGACCAGTGTTCTCCCTCCTGCAAAAATGAATAAGTAATAAAATATTTTTAAAGTAGGAAGGAAAAGAACATATGAAGCCCAGCCAGTTGAACAGTCCTTCCTCCTCCTGAGACCCTGAGTCATATCATCAGCCTTGCCGAGGCTAAAGCAAATACAGTGATTCAACATAATTAGACTGTGTACTTGTGTATGCATGAGTGTAACAGATTTTGCCATCTCTTGGCATGCATGGGTAGAGCCAGGCCAGGCAAGAATCTAGGCTGGGTTGTCAACTTGCCAGTTATAAAGGGGCTACATTGGACTCCTGCACCTTATCCCAGGCTGCACTGCTGCCAGACGTCAGCAGCTATGCAAAATGCTCTCCTGTACTTTAGGAACTTAAAAAAATATATGAAGCATCTGCTTCCCTTTTGGAAATGAAGGCTAGAAATACCAGCGTTTTCTACTTCTCAAAATGTTCAATTTCAGTGGCAGTGTAGGGGCCTGTGGAAACAACTGGGGATGGGCACATGCCACCCACAAGGCAGGTGTTACTCACCCTGGTTGATGGGTCAAGGCTGGAGTGTTGTTGCCAGAGACCAGACAGAATTAGGCAGCTAGGACAGAAGCCTGGGGTTATGGAGTGACTCTAGACCATGGTCTCCAACCTTTTTGACACCAGGGACCTGTTGAGTTGAAGACCGTTCTCCCAAGGACTGGGGGGGGGGAAGAGTACTTGTTATGCAGTAGGCTGTTGGAAAACAGCTTTGAATAAAACTCATTACATGTATTGTGCTGAGACAGGTGAGCAGCGAGCAGGAACAGGAGGTAAGCTGCCATTGAAGCTCCGCCTCCTGTTAGCAGGAGCTTCAATTGCAGCATTAGGACCTAATAGGAGCATGCTGACAGGAGGCGGAGCTTTGCTCACCTCCTGCTCGCCACTCATCTGTCCTAGTGGCCCGGTCCTTCCAGGGTCAAAGGCTGGTACCGGTCCACAGCCTGCGGGTTGGGGACCCCTGCAGTAGAAGACTTCCTCCTGGAATGTATGGTGACACACATGGCCTTTCCAGGTGGTTACTGCCCAGACTCAAGCATGGGTAGCAAGGCCATCCCAAAATATATTATAGTTTGAGGCAAAAGACAAGGTGGCACCCCCTCCCTGCATTCCCTGCATAGAAGCGTGCGCATTTTAATGCACCCAATGGGATGGAAACCGCCCTCATAATTTGGAGGTGCAGGAGATGTTGTGTTGCACACACAGATCTGTTCTCCAAAACAGATGAACCACCAAGATGCTCAGGAAGACCAGACATAATACAGCTGGAAGGGTGTTTGCCTCACTCTGCTTAATGGCAGAACTGGTCCTAGGGTGATGAACAAATTAAGTGCCCTTAGATCATACCCTGGGATATCTAGATCGCAAAATTGGTCATTAGATGAAGCACAGCTTTACTGATCACATCAGTTAGAAATATATAGAGCTGACAACTTCCTTCTTAACTCCTAAGCCCTTGAACCTTCCGTGCTTTGAATTCATATGTGGAACACCCTAATGTTATGTCTAACATCCACCCATTAGGAGGATCTGTATCTTAGTGGTGTGCCAGAAGCATTCAAACGATGCCCAGATCTTGAAATACTGTAGTTCCTTTTCAGGACGATAACTTTCGGAGCTTACCAGTCAGCATGATCACTAGTCCCCATTTCCCCTTTCTTGTTTCTAGGATGGGGGTTCAGTATGGGGACAAACTACCATTTCCACAGCTGGAGGGTCTTTGTGGTCGTCTGCTCCCTTCCGTGCATAGCATCTCTCACTGCCCTAAAGTTCATGCCGGAAAGCCCACGGTTTTTGTTAGAGGTAAGAAATCTTGGCTCACAACAGAAATGTAAGCGCGTGTTTTACACCATGTGAGATTCTAGGGCATCAGCTTTGGGTGGTAGCTGGGCGCCTGGAATTGACAACAAGACCCTGTTAATAAATGCTTTCTCCAGACTTACGATGGTCTTTGCTGTCAAAATACATCTGTGGTAGATCATAAAGGGTGGGGTTTGCCAGGAACCTAACAAAGAATACAGAAAGAGGATGCGATAGAAGGAAGTGAGGTCAGAACTTGGAATATCTCTGCCTTTAAACAAGAAAGTATAGATTGGACAAAGAAACATAATCTAGACCACCCGAACAACCTCTTTCTACAACTATGTCCACCTAAAGTGAGAGAGGGCTTCAGGGATGGAGTTTGATCGTTTAACGGGAGGACAGAAGACTGAAAAAGCAGATCCTGGATGGTGTGATGCTTCTGACATTGCTTCCTCTTATTTTTACAGCTAGGGAAGCATGATGAAGCCTGGATGATCCTCAAACAAGTCCATGACACCAACATGAGAGCCAAAGGGGAGCCAGAGAGGGTGTTTACGGTAAGCAGAGCTAATGTTACTCGTTAATGATGTGCTAGCTAAGTATCTATTTATCTTTTATATAAAGTGTACAGAAGCTGTTTCCCCCCCATGTTTTAACTTTTGCGCAGAGTATTTGTTGACTCTGGTGCTTCCTCCAACGCACCATTGTCGCATTTCCCAACCTTCTGGCTTGGCTAGTGGAGTGATACCTGATTGTGTTGGTCACACTGGAGAAAGTGGCAGAGAGAGAAAGGAGGTCCTTTTGCTCTGGGGCACAAAAACCCTCTAGGAAGTAAACATGGGGGTTAGGGGGAAACATTGTAAACTTGCATAGGATGGTGTTTATTTATTCATAGAATTTTAAAGCCACTCTCCTCTTTAAAAAGGACCCACGGCAGCTTACATCATCAAAAGACAATTATCTCGAGCTAAAAAGAATGAGTATACGTACAAATACTGAAAAGCAGCAAACAAATACCACTCTGAGAAATGAGAAACAAAAAACACCAAAAACACGTTGCTACAATAAGTAGGCCAGGAGTTCTGGGAATTGTAGTCCAAAAAAGGAACTATGTTTCTGAGGGGTAGAAGTTGTCTTAGTTCAAGGCCAGTAGATATGAACTTGGGATGTGAAGCTCTCTCGCTCTTGATTTTGCTGTGTTTCTCTGTATTTCATCTGAATTTTCTTCCCATTCTTTAAAAATTTCAAATTGTGAGAAACTGGTCTTTCCTTGTTTCCTGCATTGAAATCTTTGTATGTTTTTCAAGCTTTTTCTTAATGTGAGCCTTTGTCTATGCATTGTACGCCATGTACCATATATAAGACAACTCCACGTATAATACGACCCCCACTTTTCTAATCCAAAACTAAGAAACCATGTACCGTATATAAGACACCTCCACGTATAATATGCCCTCCACTTTTCTAATCCAAAATTAAGAAATCTAAGCGGGGTTTAGCAAGTATAGGGGGAAAGGGATCAAAGCGCTGCAGGATCACTTTGATCCCTGCTTTCCCCTCCACTTGTTTTTGTTCTCTCCTCAGCGTACTTCCATGTATAAGACGACCCTCAATTTTCAGTCTAAAGATTTTAGACAAAACAATAGTCTTATACACAGAAAAATACAGTATATTTCTTCTGCACTGATTATAGTGCCGTTGGATGTATTTTAAAAACGGTACACAATTTAAGTTTTGTGCAGCCTTCATTGCTTTGCACAGGTGTGAATTCTCTGGATGAGGTGCAATTCTTCTCACAATGAAAATGGTTATTTTCCTTCTCACCCAAACCTCCGTGCCAATTTTGCAGCCTTCATTGCTTTGCACATGTGTGAATTCTCTGGATGAGGTGAAGTTCTTCTCACAATGAAAATGGTTACTTTCCTTCTCACCCAAACCTCCGTGCCAATGTTTCTGTGCAGCTGCTAAGTCAAGACAAGCTGTTGGGGATGTCCAGAGCTTTAAAATGTTGGCTTGCTTTTGCTTATTCAGGTGGCCAACATTAAAACTCCGAAGCAGATAGATGAGTTCATTGAAATCCAAAGCTCCACAGGGACGTGGTACCAGCGATTCTTTGTCAGAGCCATGACTACCTTCAAACAGGTGAGGGGTGGGGTGATGGTGACTGGTGAATACACACACAGTCAGCACATTGTGATGGCTTCGATGTGTTATATTCTCTCATCCCCAACACACACAGTGAATAATCTATAACCCTTCAATCTTTCTTGGCTTCAACTAGATAAAAATTGTTTTGACTGTACTATTTGTCCTTCAGCAAGCACATTGTTGAATGTGGCACTGTCAATCTGTCATAAAAGATGTTACGATTAATCATCTGCTTTCACTAGTCATTTAATTACTGACATTCAATTCTAAGCCTCAAAATAGGTGCCTTCTGAAAATATTGAAGGATATAAGGTGACATGACAATGTAATAAATAAAAGGTGTCACTTGTTGGCTGAAATGCTGTGATTTATTACACATTCCAAAAGCAAGCAGCGTAACATGCCCTGGATTCTGGCTGGCAATTAATGAGTCCCTGCTGGGATTCTGAGGGGCATGCACTCCCACTGGCTTGGCCCATGCTTAAGAATCTGAGTGGGACTCTTAAATTGCTAGCTAGAGGCAACTGAATGTTACACTGTTTGCCTTCTACTCACATAAAAATGCAACAGGATTTCAACGAAAGTTAAACGGAAGTCATCGTTATGCTGGTTCCTTCCATAAAGTTCTGTTAAGGTGTTCATGACCCGTAACCCATCGTATCTGTGTAAAGAGTTGAAAACCTTGTCCCCTTTTATGGTATTTTTATTGGGCCCAATAAAGATATAGAATAGATCAACTGTGGATTATGGGTTTTGTTGTTGTTGTTCTCATGGCCCAACAGAGTTACCTTTCTTTTTGGGGTTTCTCTGGATTTTCTCTAGGTCCTGGATAACGTCCTGTATTGTTTGACAGCCCAGTACAGAATGAATACGCTTTTCCTGGCAATCGTGTGGTTTACAATGGCCTTAAGGTATGTACCTTAGACTCTTTCTTGGCGTCTGAGGATGTGGGGTCCTACAAAACTCTATAATTAATTCTGATTTTCTCCTCCAGTTACTATGGCCTTATTGTTTGGTTCCCGGATATGATACGGTACTACCAAGAGGAAACATATAAATCTCGGGAGAAAATCTTTATCGAGGAATCGGTGAAGGACATCACCTTTAATTTCACTCTGGAGAACCAAGTCCACAAGAATGGAACGTACATCAATGACAAGTGAGTGGTTGCTCTCCGGAGGAGCTCCACCCATACATTTGGAAGACAAACACAGTACAGGAGTTGCTCTGGAGGCAGTAGATGCAGTAGATGTATTCTTCACTCTGGATTTTGTTGAATTTCTCCAAATCTTGTCTACATTTTTGCCCCGCTCTTCTTTGATACCAGCTTGCAAAACTTCCAGGGCTTCTTTTTTTCCCATGGAAATCTCTTAAAATAAAGACATTTTCCCTTTTGTGCCAAATATGCATTCAATCTCCATTGGCGATAGTGTGTTTGTACACACTTTTTAAAATTACACACACATTTTTTTCAATTATGCTGTTTACCTTTTTAAACATGCGCATGATTTTGTGCCCTCTCTGTTTCTCCTAAATGCTTTGTGATCCTAACAACTATGCACGTTCTCTTGTCACTTCTTGCAGTGACTCTTGAATGATGCCAAAAGACTACTTTTGTTGAGATTGTGTAATCCAATACAATTCTTTCCCATCCCTAGCAATAGCTTTTCCCTTTCCATTTCAAAATGCCTTTAGAAGGCCCAATAATGGTGGAAGATTTTCCAGCATGAATACCAGCCTCTGTTCCTACAAACAATCCCCCACCATTGAAATTAGTAGTCCAATTCTGCTGTTTCCTCTTATATTTATTCCGATTTCTTTAAACCAGCCATTGACAATGCTTTTTTCTCCATGGTCATAAGCACAATATGAAAGAAATATAGGCTGAATTGGGATTGTATAATTGCATAACGAAATTTATAAGGTGGTGTGTGAAAAATTGTTTCCAATCTGTGGTCCTCTTGTCCTTCCTTACACTTCACATTTCAGACCCTTTTGCTGTGCTTTTCAAAATTAAAATTTCTTTCAGATTTCCGTTCAGTTACCAGAGGGAAAGGGGGCTCTCCTGGCCAGGAATTCAAAATTCAGAATTTTGGGGTATCAAGAAACCATTTTCAGAATCCAAATGTAGAAGAGGAGATGCCTTTGTTAGACCACCAGAACATTTTTAAAATGTTAAAATTGCTTTGACATTTCTAATGTATACAGTCAAACAATGAGCTATTTAGAAGTTAATGACAATATGTCATAGAAACATATCATAGAAAAGAACACATGTCATAGAAAAAACATGTGGTCTGTATTTAAATCTGAGTGACTACAATCAAACTTACTGAGATATTTTGCCTTGATATATTGGCCTTCAAAGAGCCCTCATGTTTTCTTTTCCCTTTGAACATCCTGACATCTAGCGTTTATGTGAGAGAAGGCACCTTTTTACAGATGAATTCCCAATTTATTTCATCTTCCATGGCTTTTTAAGTTGTGCAGTAGAGCTGAAAATAATTAGAGTGAGTCATGGGGAGAGATTCAACACAAGAATGCGCTTCTAATTTATAATTCACATTTTCTTCCAAAAACTGCTTGCTCTTAAATGTTTTTCATTGTGCTGACTTGTCTTAAAACTAGTTTCAGGAAGCTTCAGAGTTCACATCTATACCTTTCCAGTTCAGTGATGAAACCTGAAATGTGACCATATTTTTAAAATCCAGGAAAAGATTTCAGAATCTTGAGCTTTATAAATGAATATTGCAAATATCACACAGTATTGTTACTTGCCAATAGATTAAGCAAAAGCAAAACATCGTGCTGCCCATAGTGCTTAAAACACTCTCTGGGCAGTTTACAATTGAATTATCCAGGTTACACATTGCTTCCCCCTACCCCCACCCTGCCAGCTGGGCACACTCAGTTTAATGGCAGAATCTCACTAAGCCATTGATGCTGCGGAAGGACACTTTAAACTTTCCATTCCACCTGATCATTTCATTTTCTGGCAGTTTCTCTCAATGCAAGCTGGGCACATTCAGTTTAATAGTAGAATCTCACTAAGCCATTGATGCTGCGGAAGTACACTTTAAACTTTCCATTCCACCTGATCACTTCATTTTCTGGCAGTTTCTCTCAAAAGGTAGTTTATCTGTGTAGTGTTTGTGCTTTCTGTAGGACCTACTATACTGCCAGATTGTTTTAGGATGTGATCAGATGGCTGCAGATGTGCCTAACCTCACTGGACAGGGTTGCTTTGCTTAAAGTGCTTTGCTTAAAGTTGTTTTGCTTAAAGATCTCGCTTAAAGTGACCCTTCTGTCTACCAGCAAATTGCTCTCGTTGCCTCCCAAAAGTAGAACCTCTACAGCTGGGCCAAAAAAGGTGCATCTTAGACATGGATCGGGGTCAGCCTGGAGTGCATTTCATGGTGTATTGTGTGATCCAAATTATGATCTATTTCCCCGTGTGATCAGACCATTAGATTCTTGGCCTTGAACAATAGGTGGTATTTCTTATTCTGAAAAAAGTCACATTTTTAGCATAATTTGGAGGTGCCAGTTTGTGTGCTTCCTGGCAGGTGGGAATCATGTCCAGGTATAAGCTTTTTCTTCAGGTATTGGACAATTGAATCACAAAAGCCTTTAGAAGGAAAAAAATTAAGGATTATATATACTGTCTCAGAGTACTTAAAGCACTTTCTGGGTGGTTTACAATTTGCTGGAGGTTGCTAATTGTTCCACCTCCAGCACGTTGGGTATTCGGTTTACTGATCACAGAAGGATGGGAAGCTGAGTGGACCATGAGCTGTCTTGAACCCAGCTCCTGAGCAGAGTTTTGGCTGCAGTACTATAGCTTAAGCACTACGCTGAAAGGTTCCCCTAAGTACATGTGCTTTTTGCCTTCAGAAATAGCAGTCAGTTTTTAAGAGTAGTGAAACATTATGCCAGCTGGCACAGATTTTCTGGGAGCACGGGTGTCAAACTAGGCATTAAGGTGTATTTCTCTCTACAGTTAACCAGTTTTCCCTCGCACAAATTGATTTCCTCAGAGATAGATGCCTCAGGTTTGGAAACGGAGCCCATGTTTATCGATCACAAAATGGAACACACTAAATGCAAGACATGTTGGTGAGGAAAATCATGCATTATAATAAGGTGGCCTCTCTCATCGTTTGGGAGGGTATCTCTGCAAAACTATGATAAACATATTGGCCAAACTGCGATTGATTTTTTATATTGGCATAACTGACAAGATTTGGGCTATTGACTAGTTCGCCTTTGAGTTTTGGGTGTTTTTATTCTGCTGCTAGGGAGTCTCAGAACAGTTTCCAAGAGCCTTTTGCAGTCTGACAGCCCCCCAACTGGCTAGGGATGATGCCAGGTTTCAGAGGGTCAGCTTACTATAATGACCAATGAAATATAAATAGTAGCGTATCAAAAATAACTAGAATACAACATAACTGACCGTAATGCAGGTTGTCAAATACAGTATCTTAAAAGTTGCAATAGAAGGTATTACCATCATTTCTCACTAGCTAATTAACCAGTGCACGAGGCATTTTTCCAGAACTCATGTTACCTCCTCTAAGTTGTGTGTTTTGCTTAGAACAGTAGTTCCCAACCTTGGCTAACCCAGGTGTTCTTGGACTACAACTCCCAGAAATCCTGGCCAGCACAGCTAGTGGAAAAGGCTTCTGGGAGTTATAGTCCAAGAACCTCTCGGGATGTAACGTTGGGAAACACTGGCTTAGAAGACAGTTGGTGCCACATCGTCCATTAGCCCTGTCCAGTTTAGCCAACAATGTGTGAGATTATGTGAACTGCAGTCTAAAAACACTTGGAAGGGCAAAATTGCCCACTCTAGGTTTAGAAAATGGTCAGGGACATAAACTGACTTGGTATGAATGATGGAGATTTTTCCTCCTCCTCTCCAGATTCATGAAAATGAAATTCAGAGATGTGACGTTTGAGGACTCTGTGTTTGAGGAATGTTACTTTGAAGATGTCACATCCAGTGAGACCTTCTTCAGAAACTGTACCATTATAAGAACAGTGTTCTTTAACACAGGTAATGCTTATGTGTTTGTACACACAACATGCGCTGACCAGCCACAACATTAAAACCAGCTGCCCAATATTGTGTCAGTCCCTCTTGTGCTGCTGGAACAGCTCTGATGTGTGGAGACTCCACAAGAACCTCTGAATGTGTCCTCTGGTATCTGGGACCAAGACTTAGTAAGAGATCTTTTAAGTCCTGCAAGTTATGAGGTGGGGCTTCCATGGATCAGTTCTGGTGCTCCAGCACATCCCATGGATGCTCCATCAGATTAAGATCTGGGGAATTTGGAGGGCAAGGCAACACCTTGAACTCTTTGTCATGTTCCTCAAACCATTCCCGAACAATTTTTGCAGCACGGCAGGATGTATTATCCTGCTGAAAGAGGCCACTGCCATCAGGGAACACCATTGCCGTGAAGGTGTGTATGTGCTCTGCAACAATCTTAAGGTAAGCGGTGTGCGTCACAGTAGCATCCGCATGAATGCTGGGACTCAAGGTTTCCCAGCCAAAGGTTGACCAGAGCTTAACACTGCCTCCATCAGCTTGCCTTCTTCCCATAGAGCATCCTGCTGCCGTCTCTTCCCCAGGTAAACAACACCCATGCACCTGGCCGCTCACCTGATCTAAAAGAAAGTGTGATTCAGCAGGCCAGGCAACTTTTTTCCATTGCTCCAGGATCCTGTTCTGATG